TCACTTTGGAAAGCAGGAGTCAGACAGTGCAGGTTGTGTGAGTAAGGTGCACTGAGGCAACAGTTCAAAGCCACATTTGGTTGCTTCTGCCAAGTGCTGCTGCGTGGACGGATCCATTGTTCTGGAGCAACGGGACGCAAGCTTGAAGGGTTCCTCTCTTTGCAAAGAAATGGCGACAAACATTTCAGTTTTGGTGGACAGTGTTTTATTGTAGTATATTACAGGTATTCCCTAAAGTGGCCCCTCGTTTCTGGATGAGGCAGAGAACTTTTTGAAGTACTCGCATATCTGATGACCACAAAGCCAACCACTGACCTTTGGCCAATAGATGGAAAGCACAGAAACTCAATCATAAAGTACCACTTAGGTTGAGATCAGGCAGGTCCTTGCCTCCAGTTACCCCCTCGGTGGTATCCTTTCCAGGATGCCACCCAGAGATACGGGTCTCTGGGTAACAAGCCTCCAGCAGTACCCAGCTGGAGGCTTGTGGGTACCACTACACCCACCTGGCACCTCTGGAAAGGTCCAGTGACTTTCCGAAAGGTTTAGTTCCAGACCGAGTGCTGTGCATGGAGGTGGGTACAACAATAGGTGGATTTTGACTTCAGGAACTCAAACTAGGCACAAATATCAGCAGAGATCGGCCCTTAATGGTCCCCTTGAGCCTTTCTGTTTCTGTTATAAAGTAGGACCCGCCAACTTTGACCGCAGCATTAACTCCGATTGTGCCAAAACAACATCAAATAGTGAAAACTTGACCCAACTCTAGTTGTATGAGCATGCAGGAAATAGAACAACGGGGTGTTTTTTTTTAATACGGCCATTTTTTCATTGTTGATGTCCATGTTTGAGAGGAGAACATTGCTACCCATCGAGGACATAAAGAGGGCAGAAAAAATGGCACTTGTTGAGCTCTCTGAGTTTATCAGCGCTGAGACCTGAACAGCTCACAACTACCCACCTGTACTTTTGTCTCCCCTGAAAAAGTCCATGAAACAGGTGTACTGGGGCACTCTCTGCACTCAGAACAGGCTTGAAGGTTTGAGCTGCTGTAAAACTCCTCTGTCTCCTTCCCCACCAGCATGTCTAGATCCCTGTAAATACAGGGAGGTGCTGGAGTCGGGTGCATTGCAAACATCTGTGACTTTCCCTGCAGGTGGCGGGTCCACGGGTCAGAGCTCCATGTCTTCTTTCAGACCCGGAGAGCACGAGCGAGCAGACATGCCTCCTAACCTGCCGTGCGTTGTTTACGTTTTCCACATTTTCTCAAACTGAGGCTATGTTTTGATTTTTAAGCCTGTGCTTAATGTGCATTTCTACACATCTGCGCTCGTTAACCGGCAAGTATTTTGTCGCCATTTTCTCATGTTACAGCGTCATCCCTCAGACAGCGAGAAGAACGGTGCTGCACGCATGACCTTGACAGGATCAAATGCATCCACCACCCAGTCTTTGTAAAATGAAGCATATGTGGTCATTTCCATACGGTGAAATCCTTTTGAAGATTTCTCTGAAGGGGCAGAATCACATGTTTGCTCGGGATCTCTCAGAAGAGCCCGGTCCTGTTTGATCTCCGCAAACAGAGACACTTTAAAGTGGAAATGTACAGATGCAGCGTCGTATCAGTATTGACGGGGCTGGTCGCTGAAATCCACGACAGGCTTCAAACGCTCTCCGTCTCGTAGAATAATAGGCTCGCATTAAAACGCTGCAGGGAAACGGGTTACACATCACTTTTATTCTCACCTTTTTATGGGTCGTTACGCTTATTATGAGACTTAAATACGATGTTCATCATTTTTACAGCACGTTTAAAAAGTAATATTGTGATTTAAGCCAAACCTTTAGTTAACAGCTAACAGCCAAATTATCATAATAATAATAATAAAAATCCAGCTATGTTAGAATAACTGCTTCAAGCCGTAAAAGAAAAGCCTTACGTTTGATCATAAATCCAACATGCTGGCGAGTCGCACGGTTTTTAGTTACGGAGACGTTTTGCTCTGATATGTGACAGTTTGGGTGTTGGTTCACGGATTCCTGATGTCTGATATTATGAAACCTGAGACTTTTTTTTCTCCATATGTGGTTTCACTTTGTTGCAGTAAAAGAACCGTAAGTGATGAAAAAAGCAGCCGTTAGCAGGCCTCACATCAGACGTGCTGAATGTGACGATACGCAGAGTTGCGTCGCCGCCGCGCACACACATGGTGTTCTTTTAACGGACGCCGAAGACCGTCGTAAACACGCCTGCAATCTTTTTTTTTTTTATCGCTTCCACGTGTGATCTATCGACTGCTCGGATGAATCAACCCTGACAGGAGTCATTTCAAGTAGCCTGCCTGCGGATGATTGACGTTTTCCCCCCGTTACTCACGCAATAACACGCTTTGGTTTTCACGCCACTGCCGGAAACGAATAATTTTCTTTTCATCAAAACAAGTGGAATCTTAATGTGTTGGGAGGAAGCAGCTGACCAACCATTTGCATTATTGTGCCCTGATTTATATTCACAGAGAAGCTTTTATAATTTGACAGTCTGACTCCGGCTGGAATGAATCCTCAGCTGGGTTTTTATACCTTTAAAACTCACCAGTAGTTTTGTTTTAGTGTCTCACAAACCTTGATGTTAGGTCTCAATGCATGACTCATATTTTAAGGAAGATTTCTGATACTGGTGGCATCACCAGAGACAACAACAGGAGGCAGATCCACTGTCAGACTCATGGATGTAGCTGTAATCTCTCTCTTTATGCTCTTTTCGGTCTTTACCCTTCGTGCACTCTGCATCTTATCCTTCATCTCTCTGGCTCCTCTCACTGTCTGAGGCGCAACAGCTAGCAGACATATTTGCAGCCACTAGGAGGCGCTTTAACAGGCCTCTGCAACGTCTGCATTGCAAACATGAGTCCATGTAGCAGAGAGACTATAAAATTAGACTATGAAGTACATTTAGCACACATTATTGGGTCTATAGGTACATCAATACACAAGTGGTCACTCTAAATATGGCTGAATGGTACAGTTGGACTAATTAAAAACTGTTTGCAGTGAGAGCTATTGATTAATCACATTTGTTTTTTGTTTATTTGTGGCGTTTCTTATTGTATCGCTATAATTTACTCAAGAAAATCATTATAAACAGTTTCCCTCCAGTTATCTGTGACGGAGGCATGTAGACATGTATGTCATTTCCAGAGGGGTAAATAATGTCCTCCTATGATCCAAACCACAGTCCAAGCTGTCAGTCAGCAGCACATCTAATTTCAACACCCTATGAGTTTTCACTGACCTTCTTGGAACCACTTCGCCAGACAATCCTCACTTTTCCAGCCCTGTTTTTTTTCTTTTCTATTTGTCTGCAAACAGCATTTGTGTAAAGAAAAAAAAAAAAACAGGAGCCCTGAAGTCGTTCTTCGTGTCAACAAACCGTTTTGTATTTACTCAGACGTCTGACAACATCAACGTGTGTTGGAGGCCCCCGTGTGAACCAGGACGTGGAGCGTAAAGGCGCATAGAGCCGGAGCGCATAGATCGGCCCGCAAACACAAAGAAACCAGCGGGAGACGCCTGGACCGCTGTGTGAAGGCAGCTATAAATTTAGAATATTTTAAAGCGATTTATATTGAAAAATTGTTTTACGCACAATATTTTATTCACTGGTTACACATTTAAGGGTACAAACACTCCTCTGCGTGTATCCCAAGCGCACTATATGTGGTTTAAAGGTACCTTATTCAATTTTCAGGATACTTTTTCTTTAGTGTCCTTGTCTCAGATGTCGCCTGATGCGCGCTGTCTCTCCACGAGAAGGTGGAGTTCTGTGGTTTCCACGTCTGCGCCCACATGGCACCCAACATAAAGCGCTGTTATTGCAGGTTTTCTCATGTTAATGCCGACAGTTTGTCAGGCATTAACCAGGAGGGCACGATAATCTGTCCACGGGATCTCCACTGGCACCCTTGATTGTCTTCAGGCCTCCTGTTGGGCGACACGGAGGGACCTCATCAGTCCAACTGAAAATAAATACTGTTAATTGAAGTCAGGGCTCCTCGTTATTAGTGATGTGGAGACTAAATGAGTTGTTGATTTTTAGTCGTGTAAATATTAATGATCTGCACTTTGTTGGAATGGATGATGTGAATGGAGACCAGAGAGGTGATGTTTAATCAGATTACTGCTGAGAGAGAGAGGGAGAGAGAGAGGGAGAGAGAGAGAGAGAGGGAGGACTGGGGGGTGGTTTGGTTGGAGGGGGTGTTATAGAGGCAATCTTAGGGGGTAGGTAGTGGCAACAGAGATGCTGACACACACACGCACACGTTGCAGAGAGAGAGAGAGAGCGAGCAGCAGATAGACAGACTTGGCAGACAGGCAGCGCGCTGCGCCGAGAAGTTTTGGTTTTAAAACTTTTTCTGTGGAAAGCGCAACTGGTCGGTGCAGCTCCTTCACACACACACACACACACCAGGCTCACAGGCTTCAGCACAATCGATCAGCAGGACAACACACACAGCAGCTCAGTCCCGACTTTCTGTTTCTGGCTCCAGGTGCTGACGCGGCGTGGTGGACCTGTTGGCTCAACTTTTTTGGAACTAATACGCGTAAATCCTGCAGAGATTCCGCGGAAGGCGACGCAGAGCGAAGGGAACCGTGGATAATTCAGGCTGGCCCGGCGGTGAGAGGATGATGTGACCCTGTGTAAACTTCCACTGACCACCTTTCTCCAAACCTCCCTCTCTCTCCCTCAAACACACACACACGTGAAGACGGCAGCGCTGCGTCCAGGAGGCTCAAGTCAACATGACTCTGCCCGGCGGTTTGTCGGATACTTGTCAGCTCATTTTACGTGACCGCATGGAGCCGGAGCTGTGGAAATAGGACTTTATCCATGCTTTCTGGGGAATAGTTGCTGCAGCACGTTGTGGTGAAGCAAAACCCGGGCAACCCTGCACAGTTTGGAGAGGGAGAGGGAGAGAGAGAGAGAGTGAGAGGGAGCTACGATGCGGGGCACTTTGGGCGCATTCATTCAGTCCTGTCTCCTGCTGCTGGTCCGAGCAGACCAGTGGAGGCTCAAGGACTCCGCCAGCTGCGAGTTAAATAGGAAAGTAAGTCACAACGAGAGTGATTCTAAAGCTTCAGTCTGAAAAATAAATGTAATGTGAACTGTGCGCTTTATGTGGACACCTACGAAGGTTGGTGTCACAGAAAGAGCCTTGAAATGTCATTTAAACTCATTTTTACTCTATGACATGCTGCTCACCTTTCTAAAATAGTTGGATTAACTTCTCAATGTGGAGCTGTCTGACTTTTAAACCTGCTTTTGCATTTGTAAAAATCAACCTACTTCACATACTGACTGTGCAAATAGTCAACAAATCATTTTAAATACTGATTAAAACCCAAAATAATGAAATGCACGATCATATCAGGACTAATAATAGCACAATACATGGAATTATTAGGATTTTGTGCTGTTTTTCTGTAGCTAATCGATGAAACCAGCACTGGTTTTGTGTATTGACGTTGTCTAACATGCTCGTCCTCACATTCTCTACATCCACATGTGTGTATTCAAGAAAAAAAAGCTCCTAAATTTAAGTTTATTCTGTTGATATCTGCTGTATTTGATCCAACGCATCCAAGCAGTTGTAAAGAAAACAATTCCTCCTAAGAATCTGCCTTTTAAATCCCTTTTTAACAGTGTGAAAGTACAGGTTTCTGGTTTTGTTAGACCACCTTTCAGTCTCTCTTTGATTAGTTGTATTTTAACTCGGAGTCACACAGACCGTCTGATGGAGCAGCAACAGGAAGCCAGCGGCCCGTAGCCTGACAATCACTGACATGTGTATTGTTTGTTTGGCACTTGGCTTCTAAGTGGCCTGTTAATAAGTCATTATCAGTCTGTTAGCGGAGTGTCTAATAAACAGCCTCCCGCAGACAAAGAGGTGTTTGGTGTCAGACAGGCCCGGTGATGGCTGTGATGTAAAGTTAACGGCGTGAAACGACTGTAAATTCACCCCTCTGCCGCCGTCTTACGCGGTTTTTTTACTTGTTTCTGACTTGTGGAAATGCTGAGAAGTTTAAGGACAGAAACCTGCAAGTGTTTGGATATTTAAAAATTGTTCCACTCAGCTGTGAGCATTTTTTAGTTTTTATATCATCACAAACTAAATGTCTAACAATTTGAAGATGGCACTTTAGGCCTTGTGCGCTTTCTGACATGTACGAGGCCTTTAATCGATTTGTCAGAAACATAATTCGAAACCCAGCTAACATTCTCATCTGTTCCTCCAGCAAACGGACCTGAACTCCTTCCTGTGGACGATCAAACGCGATCCGCCGTCGTATTTCTACGGTACAATCCACGTCCCGTACACGCGCGTCTGGGACTTCATCCCCGAGAACTCCAAGCAGGCCTTCCAGGAGAGCAACATCGTCTACTTCGAGCTGGACCTGACGGACCCTTACACCATCTCAGCCCTGACCAGCTGCCAGTTGCTCCCGCAGGGCGAGAACCTGCAGGACGTCCTGCCCAGAGACATCTACAGGAGACTTAAAAGACACCTGGAGTACGTGAAGCTCATGATGCCCTCCTGGATGACCCCGGATCAGAGGGGGAAGGGGCTCTACGCGGACTACCTCTTCAACGCCATCGCCGGGAACTGGGAGAGGAAGCGACCCGTCTGGGTGATGCTGATGGTGAACTCGCTCACGGAGGCAGACATTAAGACTCGAGGGGTGCCGGTGCTGGACCTGTATCTGGCCCAGGAGGCGGAGAGGATGAGGAAGAGGACGGGAGCCGTGGAGAAGGTGGAGGAACAATGCCATCCGCTCAACGGGCTGAACTTCTCCCAGGTGAGTTCTGCTAATTGGTTGCTCAGGTTTCAGATTTGCCTGTTTGTCCGTCACCTCCCTCTCAGCTGGCTTCTGTGTGGCCAAAACAGAACCACAAAGAATCGTGGCTCTGTTGGGCTCTGACAGATCTAAGCTCCTTGAAATCTGCTGTGTGAGGAGTCGACTTTCTCACATGAGCAAAATCATACATTTGGATGCGGAGACTGTCAGGTATAAAGGGCGTTGCTTTCTTTAGTCTTTTGTAATGACATGTTCATGGTTTGAAAATATAAATAATAAGAAAACAAATGTAGAACAGCCACTGTTGCCTGCTTTCAGGGTTATGCTTGTCTTTCTCTTTCCTTTTGTTGGTCGTCGGTATCAAGAAAGTTAGTTTTTTCCCCCTAATTTTTAAGTTAAAGCGAGTAAATTTTGGCCAAATAAATTGTCGTCGTGCTTCGATGGTGTTGGTAATAATAGCATGTGATTGATCGGCCTCGTGCATGAACCAGTAACAGTCAGATTTTACGCAGGATTCACTATGATGAAGATGAAGAGAAGTAGATGGCATGCTCTGAGTATTTTACAGAGTGGTTTCAGGGGAGTCTTTCCAGTCATGTCGTAGCATTTGTAGCCACAGTTAGCATTGGCAGCGTTGTGATATTTGCAGGTTAATTTGAAGTTAGGATGTAGAATTAGGATGCCTCACTGTTTTATTGCTCATGTTTAAGATGCATCAGCTGCCCACAGTTTTGTTGCATTGACTCTCAGGATGGCTGCATTAAGCTGAACAGGTATTAGTCATACGTGAACAATCTACATTACTGCATAAACAGATTAGAACAAATGACGTGTAAAGATCCTGCAGAAGCTAGCCTCACTTTCTGCTTTATAATGTGCACTTTATTGCCAAAGCAGTGGAAAGCCTTCACTGTGATGCATTGACAGTGATTGCTGCACTTGGGTCACTTAATAAATGGAAAAGTAAATCCTCGCTAATGTTGATTTACTGTTTTCCTAAATGTAGATTCTATTTCATTCATCATGTGATTGACAAAGCTTTGCAAGAAGTAAAAAAAAAAGCTGAGAACTCTTTGCAGCGATATTGTTTGTGAGGAAAACAAGCGGTTCAGTGAACGGATGCAGAGGCGTATAATCACATCCAGTGAAGCTGTGCAGAAACTCAGAGGGCAGAGACCGAAGCACTGGCTTAGTTTTTATCACAGCAGGTAATTGTAAGTTCTGCGTCCGCACACAGCTCCGGCTTACAGCCGATCGCGACAGGTTGAGCAGGTTGCTGCGTTCGCCGTTATGACGTAGAGCCGTTGCAGCGATGCCATTTCCTGTAGTTGAAATTCACAGGAGCCCACAAAGGTTGCATGTGTGTGAACATCTGCTGGGTGGCAGCAGCAGCTTCTCGTGAGCGAAACCTCGCAGAAGGTTAACAGGTTTAGCATTTGGGTAAAAGAGCACAGCGCCAGATTGGTGCTCGGCTGAGTTTGTTAAGAGGAATCTGCATCGGGAGAAATTAAAGCCACGCAAAGTCCTTCCCATTACGCCCTGACGGCATCCAAATATTAATGTCTAAACGAGCATCTTTGGTAATTTCCCCTAAAAGTCGCCCTGCCACTCTCAACAGTTCAGAACTTCTCGCATTTCCGTGTTACTTTCAACAAGTGCGTGCAGTTACATCGGTGGAAAGGCACGCACAAGATAGCGAGTCACCGACGTAGGATGTTGTCATGTGTAGCGAGAAGAAGAACAACTCGCATGTGTTGCCGTGACTACATCTATTACTGATGTCTGAGTAACAGAATGGCGTCACTTTAACGGACTGGTGAAGCCAGAAATGTCATGAATACTCTGAAAAGGGCGTCGGATGATTGCTGTATCTGTAATTTACACCCCAGATCAACACATCTTGCTTCACCGTGGATGTTAGATGATGTGGTGCTTCTTGATGCAGCTGGCAGATTTAACCGTCTGACTTTCGTGCTGCAGAGGCCTCACATCACATCTCCTTAAATACAGTACGTCAGCTGGAGACGCTAAGATGTGTAATACAAATGACAAAGACCAGAGGTATGAATTGAGGGTTTTTTTTTTTTACACAGCGGGGGCCTCTTTCCCCCGTTTTCCCACAGCTCAGTCAAGTGGAGAAAGGTGTGGTGTTAACAATCAGCTGTGCAAACATTCAGCCGCTCGCTTCCCTATGTCCTTTGTTATTAAAGAAAAATGGATCTTAATGACTCAAGTCTGAAATCGCCAGAAAAAAAAAGGGAACCTTGTCCCTCAGACTACTGCGTTCTGGTCTCCCCGTCTGGCCGCCTGTCCGTCTGTCTGACCCTTCCAGCACTACAAACATGGCTCAAAGGCGGCAGTCACTATGAAATCATGTTGCATATTATTGAGGAATTTCTGCTAATGCTGCTCGGGAGCTAAAGGGATTACACTCGACCACTTACCCTAACACCCAGAAGCTTCAAGTGTTGTTATTTTAAAGCAGGCCTTGTTGGCCCCTCAGACTATAAGTCTCTTCATAAAGTCACCCAACAGCACTTTTATTAGCATTCTCCAGAGGGAGGACGAGGGGGGCGATGTCGACAATCACTGAGCATATATAATCAGTCAGATGTGAAATTACTGATGACTTTTGTCATTTGTTTGCACAGCCGGTTAAATAGAAATCACGCTCCCATGGCAGTGTTTACGTCCTGATAAACACATGGAGTGTGAGTAATAGTTAACAATTAGCGCTGATTCTTTTTTTTTTTCTCTCCGGCTCAGTAGAGATGATTAAATTTAGCTCATACGTTTCTCAGATGTAAGAACTTCTCGTGTTATTTTAATCATTTTGACTATTTTTGGAACCGATGAGCATCCTCTTGCGGTCGTGCAGAAGCGAAGGCAGACTCGTACGTGTCGGTGCGCTGCTCAGATTTCTCTTGCGGCGAGCTGTTGGACGCGCTCGCCGTTAACGCCGGAGGCAGCAGCTTGCATGACGTTTCTTTGGCTTCTTTCGAGTGTGACCGGCGTCTTTCTAAAGCTCTAACCGGACAGTTTAATAACCCAAAGAGGCTATTAGAGAAGGAGCGCGGGTGGCTGAAATTGGGTTTGTCAACAGATCTGCGAGGAGAATAAACCTCCAGTCATCACAGCTTTCATTGAATTAGGTCCACAAAAGAACTCCAGAAGGCCTCGACAATGAATTCTAGTGTCCTGAAAACAACCCCTATCCTGACACCGCACCAAAACAGCACACAACTTGGCACTCCATAACTTCCACACTCAGTTTCAATCTAATCAACAGCAGCTCGACAGACGCCTTCGCCCTGCTGGCTGAAAGCAGCCCGCTTAATATCACACTAAAGCCTTTTTTCTCTGTGTGTGTGTGTGTGTGTGTGTGTGTTGTTTTTTCACAGTTTCGCCGTGTAGTTGAAAAGGGCAATTCCATTTAAAGTCTTTTAGCTCAACTCAACTGTAAGATGTCCAGATAGAGCGCGATGAGTGAAATACACGCTCGGTGGAACAATGCCGCCGCCTCGGCTGCCATTCTGGACTGAGAGAGATGTTTAATCAGGCTACGAATGGAGAAGCACATTTATGGTTCGTGATAGCCTCGGTAATGTTTTCGCTGGCCGTTTGCGTGAAACACGTCTTAAAGTTAAATGAAAATATATCTGAAGTGATGAAAAGTTCTCTCCTTCGTCGTCGTCATCCTCGTCCCGTCTGCTTGCTCGCTTCCAGATCTCGATACGTAGTTTGAGCACAAATTGATTTTCAGATTGTTTCTCGCCACCGTTGATCCAGACAGACTCTCCCGCGGTGAGACGTCAACGCCGACGCTGCTGACTGGATGAACGCACCAGTAGCTGGGCTGAGAGTCACGGTGGTGGCTCCACTGGAACTGGAGTGAAATCTCTTCCTGGGGAAATTTGCTTTGGCGAGTTTTGAAAGGAGGTGAATAACACCTTTGTCTTCTGTCTTGGCCTGGACTCTTAAAAAAAATCTTTCCATTTGTTAGAATCTAAACCCACCTGTTGAATCATCCAGCTTCTAACTCTGGATGCTTTCTATCTGTCTCACAACAAACTGCTTCAAAGTGCAATCTGACTCGTGTACATGTGCTCTAAACAGCTTCATTCCTTGGACTGAGTCAAGGTCTAATAATCATTTGAGTATGGAGATAATTGTGCACAGAGTTGAACAATCGCACATCAAAAAACTCTCATATTGTTGCAGTATGATTTCTGAGAGCATCTGAGAGCTTTGATGGAGGTCAGATGCTGCACATTTTCTTCACTGTGTGCGCTGGATTTTAAAATCTTGCAAGAACTGTCGGACGCAACCCTGATCAACAAGCGGTTCACTGAATGCCTTATCTCAGATCTTTTAGGGTTGTCGTGGTTGTGACTACAGACAGAAAACCAGGTCTGGACATTGTCTGTGGTTGCCCTCGTAGCACACAACAGGAGATTTCCCATGTTTCCCAAACACTCGAGGGGTGTTGCCTCCGTTGCAGGATTCAGGATATGTTTCAAAAAGGAAGCTGCTGGTTCTTCATTTGGTCATAAACAACCTCGTCTCTTGTCGTTCCTTGAATTTGTCTGATAGTTTCACTGGGACGTTTTTGTTGGCGTCTTTGTGCGAGGTACCCCATCTTCTTCTTCGCCCTCCGATGTTTTTATTCAGCCGGTTTCGGCCCAGTCGCGTGATAGAAGCGTCACCAACAGGCCCACTTGTTCCCTGTGAATGCACTGGAAAAATGATCTGCTCTAGTTCACACTGGACTTCAATATCATACAGCCTCTGTACTCAGGAGCTGGCAGGCTAGGATCCAACTGATGGGCACATGATCACATTCAGCTCCTTCTGGTAATGTCTAATTGGTTCAGGGTTGCAGTGCATGTTTGAAAACAGCTCAATATAGGTAAAAATATCAGTTCCCAGCTTGGTGTGACTGTAAACACCTGCAACACATTTAAATCTAAGCCGCGTTTTTCTTACAAGCCATGTGTCCA